AACCTTTGTTAATAATTCAAACCTGAATCGAACCCCTTTTCTGAATTGGATTATAACATAGGTGCTGATGTACAGAACGTCGCTCATGGTAAACTGGCTTCTCAGAGATCGGAATCAGCGAGAGGGGAACCGAAGAGAGCTATAGATGGTAATGCCAACCCAAGCTATTTTAGCTCCAGCTGCACACACACTGGCGATGATCCGAATTATGACGTGCCTTGGTTCCAGCTGGATCTAGGGGTAACGCACTGCATTACAAGTGTTGTTCTCACAAATAGGCATGATAATTGCGGATGCGGTAAGTAAGCTTGATGACATGGCACGTTTTTTTGTTTATACACAATGCAGTACTATTTTACAGTGTTCTGTCACTCAAAGTTGTTGATCTGTGCCAAAAATGGTGAAATACGTATTTGTAAGACATATAATTTGGGCTCGAAAGCTCACGAAGAAGTTGATAAATTAGAATAAATTACCACATTACACTTTGTCAATTGCGTCACTAAGAACTAAGAATTTCTTTTACATTGGCTTTATTTACGTGTCTTGCAGCTGACAGACTATCACAGTCTCAAGTTCTAATTGGAAATATTGATGAATGGGAAACCGCTCCGCAATGTGGTGACACCATCACCGTTGCCATGACAGAACCGAACGACGTTGAGTTCATCTGTGATCCTGGTACAGCTGGACGTTATGTTACCGTGCGACGACTTGAAGAAGGCATAATAACCCTTTGTGAAATTCTGGTTTTTGCCCCATGTATGTTGGTCATTTGTTTGTTTGCGTATGCACTTGTATTCTATTCTGTGCATATGATAGATTGATTGTTAATTGCGTGAACGCCCGATATTATATATAACATACGAGTCACCCAAACACTGTTATCGTATTTGCAATTCGAATATATAAGCCTTCCAAATATTGTATGATGTCCGTCGGGAATCTTGATAAAGCCAGTCACGTTTGATTCCCGTGAAATGCCACATACCCTAGTCTGTTGAACAATTGTAATTCCCTTCATTCTAGTGAGAAGACGATACGAGTTTATAACCGATGAGGTTAACTGGTTTACCGGAAAGCAGGTATGCGAGAATCAAGGAGCTCACTTGGCTAAGATTAGAAATGAAGACGAGCATATTTATCTGCGAGACCTGATTGTTCAACACACTGGCATGAGTAATATTCCTTTTCGTTATTGTTACACACAGAAAAACACGACTCTAGATTCACAAATCAACACTAATGTGATTCTATTTTTAAAAAAAAATACATATCATTCATTGCAAACACCAAATATATCAGCCACATCAAGAAGTTTGTGACTGTTTTTTGATGTACTAAAACATGTATAACATGTATTCATCTTCATAGTGAGCCAGCATGTAGAACGACATGAACAAACTAGACTCGAGCACTCACTTGAGTAAAAAAAATTGAACCGTGCTTGCACACTTAAAATTATAAATGACTAACATGATACAAATTGTTTTTTTTAGTGAAATATGAAATACGGGTTGAAATATGTTAGTTTGTTATTAGACAAAACAGCAACAGTCAAATATTGTTCCGATCATATATATATATATATATATATATATATATATATAGATACAGCGTGCCGTAATTTTGCGGTATTTTACGGGGTATTTTCTACCTACCATATAAGGAAATGCGAATTCCAAATACTCAATGAGTACACGCGTAAGCGTCCTCTAATAATAAAATCAAACATGGCGGCTGCCACCAGGGTTTGACCGGACACCACACAAAGCAGTTCGCTGATTTTGTTTTAAACATTTTGTATCTCGGCATTCCCATGATGTATCCTTGGAAGGAAAAGATGCACGAAGACAGTACGCCGTCTCATCGACCTCCACTGC